TATATATATAAAACTATCAACGTAATCAAATTACACAAGAGACTTTCAAAAACTGTTTCTCTTTTTGCATCTTCCTTTGCTTGCCCCACCTTTCACAACAAAAGAGTATTTACTGTGTTAATACAGCGTGCTCCTCTCCAAACAGCATAAATATTGGTGCAAGTCTTTTGCCCCCTGTTTATGAATATGTAATGCCACCCAATGGTTTGACTTCTTCCCACAGCATGACATTTACTCAGAGGTGGCAGGGATGGGCAATTTTACAGTTATTATTGGTGGCATCTTTCTCACTGGCTGAGGATCCAGAATGCAAAAAGAGAGGCGACCCAGAAAACGCCCAGCTACTTCAGGATGGAGACATTATGTTGGGTGGACTCTTTTCTTTCCACACCAACTGGATAGAAAAACAGGAAACCTACGTGAAAAAGCCCCAGCCACTACAATGCATAAGGTAATTTATCGATCATCGATTTATTTAAATAAAAAAGTGTCTCAAACTTTTTTATTTAGAACTTGTATTGAGACTGCTCATGCATTTATTTCACTATTACATTATTTTGTTTTCTGCTTGAAACACTGATTATTTTGAAAAGATTTACATTTGCTGTTTGTTTCAAGTTTAAATTTCAGGGAATTCCAATTAGCCCAGGCTATGCTTTTTGCCATTGAGGAAATAAATAACAGTTCAGATCTACTGCCAGGGATCGATCTGGGCTACAAACTGTTTGATACTTGTGGGTCCACTGCCAGAAGTATAAGAGCTGCACTGTCTTTGGTTAATGGTGATGAAAATGAAGCTGCAGCTGTGAAGGCATGTACCGGACCTGCACATGTTCAGGCCATAATGGGAGAAGCTTCATCCTCTCCAAGCATGGCAATAGCTACTGTTATTGGACCGTTTCACATACCCCTGGTGGGTAAGAGTTATATACTTTTTAATGTTGTTGACAATATTTAACTCTAAAAAGTATATACAGAATTTGCTTGTATATGGTGTACTCTCAATAATATTCAATGTATTTGTTTTTAGATCAGTCATTATGCAACATGTGCTTGTCTCAGTGATAAAACTAAGTACCCATCCTTTCTCAGAACCATACCCAGTGACTACTATCAGAGCAGAGCTCTGGCCCATTTGGTCAAACACTTTGGTTGGACTTGGGTTGGAGCTGTTTGGTCAAATAATGATTATGGCAACAATGGCATGGCAATATTTACAGAGACCGCAGAGCAGCTGGGCATCTGTCTGGAATATTCTGAGCCGTTCTTTAGAACAGACCCGTTAGACAAAATAGGAAATATAATTGACATTATCAAGGCCTCTACATCGAAAGTGATTGTTGCGTTTCTCGCTCACATGGACATGGAGGTGCTTATACATGAATTGTCCAACCATAACTTGACAGGATACCAGTGGGTTGGTACTGAGGCTTGGATTTGTGATTCTCAGACTGCATCAAGGGATAAAAATCACATCTTGGATGGAGCCATAGGACTCTATGTTCCAAAAGCCTATGTCAGTGGTCTTAAAGAGTTTATGTTTAATGTAAAACCACTCAATTCAACAAATAATGACTTGTTTACAGAGTTCTATGAGGACTTATTCAGCTGCAAGTTCAAGCAGCCTCAATCAGAAGAGATTCAGAGACAATGTACTGGACATGAAAATCTGACTGGTGTGGAAAATGTTTTCACTGACATGTCACACATGTCCATTTTTAACAACATGTATAAAGGAGTGTATGCAGTGGCCCATGCTTTGCACAGTATTTTCAGCTGCAATAAAACCTGCAACAGCAGTGTCCAGCTAGATCCCTACAAGGTGAGCTTAATATCTGAAATCATTATTGTTTTTCCGCAAACTTATAGTTCGATGTTGTTTATATTTTAACCTGTTCATCTTGAAACAAAGCATTTGTTTACATTCTAGAACTCAGTTAAATACATTTTTAGATTTCTAGAACAGAGTCAAAAGCTTAAAAGTTTACGCCTCTCAAATGCTTACTTATTTACTTTTTTTAGTTACAGAGAACATAAACAAAAATTTCTGAGGAATTCATTAAGGTTTGAAGAAAACATTCTTTTAGAACATAATTTTAGAGCATTGAGGCACAAGAATGATCAACAACAAATTTAGTTTTACATTCTATTTGTAGCAGTTTTCCTCCATTTATTTTACTATCAATACTTTTCTTTTCATTATTTAATTCATTTTAGATTTTACAGCACATAAAAAAGGTTAACTTCAAAACAAAGGAAGGTGAGGATGTTTATTTTAATGAGAATGGAGATCCTGTTGCAAAGTATGAAATMATCAACTGGCAGCCAAGAGAAAATGAAAATATGCACTTTGTCACTGTTGGTGTTTATGATGCATCGTTACCTGCAGAAAAGCAAATGAATCTATACAATACGTCTTTAATTTGGGCAAACAACTCGCTGCAGGTAACATACATCAAATGTTTAGTATAATATAAAACTAATTCTGGATTTTGCTTTACCATATTCAAAAAAAATAAAAAGAAAAGAAAATTTGTCATTGTTATTTTTTTTTCTTTTGTTGTATATCACTGGTGTAAGAAGGTGCCCATGTCAGTTTGCAGTGAGAAGTGTCCTCCAGGAACACGGAGGGTTTTAAAGAAGGGAAAACCTGTTTGCTGCTATGACTGCGTAAGATGTGCAGAGGGAGAAATGAGCTACAGAACAGGTAAGTAAATGTGTATAGATTTATTCTGGGTTTATAAAAAAAAACATAAGTATCTAATAACTAAATAAACGTTTGTGACAGTGGTGGGCAGCTCTAAATTGAAAGTTAGTTCCGCAAATTC